TTATTCAAAGGAACTTATTTCATTTTGTATTTTACCTCTAGTATTAACCTTTCACTTCTGCACTTTTATGAGACAGTGAAACTTGCAATTTAGAGGTTCTTAGAAAGATAGATTATATCTAAAATAGGTTTCTTGTAAGAACCTATAATAGGTTCCAAAACTTTCTTCAAAATTTAAAGTGGCTTTTTTTGAGGTGAAGATGCTACTCTATACATAATGTGACAATGGAATTAAAACCAAAAAAACACACAATACATGTCATCAGAGAGGATTGAAAATTATTTTTAAATTAAATTTAAAAAAAATGTGAATTGCTGTGCTATTTCATACAAGTAGTCGCAATGGGTAGAACTCTTTAAACATATTAAGATTTGAGATATTAAGGAATCTATTCATTAAATTCCATTTTCAAGTGAATTGAGTTAAAGTATGAGGTTTAGGTTCCAAGATTTCAAACTGGCCAACATCTTTATGCCATCCCAAAACCTCACCATCACCTTTTTCCTTCTCATTTGGCTTACTTAGCAATAGTTTGTATGTCCTCACCTAACCTGAAATAAGTAAACTACAGAGTGGGAAACATACTCTAAGAGCCTGGCTTTTAGCTTTCACTCACTGAAGCAAAAAGCATATCTCCAGCTGCTTCCACCTATTGATCCACTCCTATTGTGCTGAAATACTTCTTGAAGTCGGTGTAGCTGGGGATTAAACAAAATGATCCAACCTCTTCGGAAATCACTGTCAAGATCCTTGAAGAGGAAGTGGAATCAGCACTTCAAAACTTTTTTGCTTGTTATTTGAGTCATGCATTCCTGACTAACCCCTTCACTGCCGTTCACAGAGAAGTTCAAGTTGGCAGTAATGGGGAAGATCTTTAAAGGAGAGTATAATCAACCACTGAAAATCTTACTAGGGTGTTTTACAGACTCTCCATCACTGACTACTTCAAAGTCAGGGTGAGATGGTTTTTCACTTGTTGCAAAAAGAGCAACAGAAAAAAAAAACACAAAACACCAAACAGACCAAAACCTGAATAACATCTTTTTAAAAAGTTATTCCCAGTATTGCTGCATTTCTCCCAGACATCCCAGCCTCTGCCTGCCCAGGAGACGATCCCAGTAGGGTGACTGTTGTCCAGCCAGTCCTGTCAGTCCTCTTCTCTTATGGTAGAGGCTGTACCTCAGTGCACCTCACAAACCGACAAAACATTTCTATCATCTTGCACACAATACTGCCACCTCATCTACAGAAGTAAAGTGAGATGGTGGTTCTGCTTTACAGGTATAAGTGAAAATTAATTTTATTGAAGCCAAAGATGGCAAAGTTTTAAGGAGATGTAGTGGCTGACACCACTAAGAAAAGCAACAACTTCTCGAGTGTACAAGCTATTTTTTTTTCCTGTTATGAGTTGATCTAATGAAAATATTATATCTCTGTCCAGGTCATGTCCTGTCATCATGACTACAAGCACTTTTATAATTCTGTGTTTGAGAAAAGGTCAATAGAGTGTCTCTGAACATACCATTGAGTATTGTAACTGGGAGCTGAATTTTCTCTTATGGCATAGGGTTGGGAAACTGATTTCTTTCTCCACAGTTTCTGAGAGAGACAGAAGAAGTGGAAAAAAGGAAAACAGATGCTTTTCCCCTGATTTCCTCCCAATATACTGATCAGATTGTCTTCCCTATTAGTGATAGCCTCTTTGTGTTACAAAGACCTGTCTTCCAGTGATTACATACAGTGTATTTCAGATCTGCTACTGCCAGAACAGCTTAAAATGGCATATGACAGAGTGCATGACAAGAGAAATCTGACAGAATCCCTCCATCACTGAAGAGTCAGCCAGGACACTGAACATGGTCATGGTCAAAAATTCCACAGTCGCCAGCTGTAAGTGCAATAATCCAAGAAATGTTTTGCAAACATTAATCCCGGTAGAAATGTCTGAATGAACCCTGCTTGGGTTTTTCTTTTGCAGAAGAGTTGAGAAGTGACAATAAGAGAGAGTCTGCTTTCAGGAAGAAATAATGCATGTTTAGTTAAGATCGTGGAAAAAAAAGAGGGATTTGCACATATTTTAAGATGTCAGAATGTTGTAATATCACAAACAGAAATGACCCTTCCAAAGATGTTGCAAAGCAATGCTAAAGCACATTGTTTATGGGAGTCTTAATCACTGCACATATTAGAAAAAAAAATTACTTATTCCTAACAACTCAAATTGGGTTTGATTTGCTGTTCATTCTTATATTGAAAACCTGTTTCTTAAATGGGTTCATTTATCATTCTTGTTTCTGCAGAAAAGGCTAGTACACTAAAAAAAAAATTCCATTTCATAGCAACAGCTATAGTTTTTACAGTTAATCCTAACTATTTACCATCCACAGTATGTAGTATTGCTTACCTCACATATAGGCAAGAAAATCCTTGGAAAGAAATGCAACTTTATGGTATTTCTTCCAGACCACAACAAATGGGGAAAAAAAAGACTTCATGGTAATGAATTTCTCTCTCTAAATGTGATCAACAGGAAGATTTCACCCTTCTTGAACCAAAACAAACAATATAAGTTTTGTCTTTTATTTTGACTCCTAAAATGGGGTATTACTAGCACCAGTAGACTATGACTTAGGTTTTTCTTTTACGAAAGAAATGGAAGCCCATTACTGAATATTGCTGCTGCATATGCATTTGAGCAAAATAAAGTCTTTTTCAAGTCCATCTCTCCATTCCTAATTTGGTGATGATAGCTGGATCTAACTTAGTACTTACATGCTGACACAAGTTCTGGTTCTGATACTAATTTTTTTCCAGATGGATAACAATATACAGCTTAACTTCATCAAAATAAATCTCTACCTATAGTCCTTCTAATGGGAGAAAACATTTTTTTCTACTACAACGAATCCGTGAGCAAACATTTGTACTTGTCTTACCCAGATAGGTATTAAAATCATATTATTTTCCTGTTTTTCTTATTTTAAGCTGCATTTAAACTATACAATATAGCTTCCCCTTCATATTTGTCTCAGCTTCTCTTTAAATTATTTAAATTTTGGGGTTTCCCCCCCACAGAGTTACATTATAGTGACATTTAATTCAAGAAAATTGATGTTTCCTTATTACTGTGATGTAACAAAATGCAGCCCTTTGCTAGCAAGCACTTTAATGTCCCATTTACCCATATCCTCTCAGGAGTTTGTCGTAGCAACATTTGATGTTATTTAATAAGAGTTGATTCATTGCAGAATAACTATACTTTGAAGAACTGGCACAAATAACTATGAGTTGATGGTGGTGCCACTCCAATGCTGAGCTGATCACAGTAAAAGATGATGGAGATGGCATGAAGCCACTTCTCCAGAACAGTGTTTTCCACCACCATGGTGCCATGACAAAAACAAGTAGTTCATAGAGCCTAAGCAGATGAATGCACACAATATATAGTTTTCCTCCTCTTGTTCTTCCAGCCTGCCTCCCTCAAAAAAAAAAAAAAAAGGGGGGGGTTATTTTTGTAGGTCTTAACAGCTTATGAGCTCTTTCAGCACTCCACTTTCTGACTATATAAGGACAGAAGCAGGTTAAGCTCAGCAAGCAATATGGAAGTTTGTCACTGCACTTCTCCAGTGTTTCTAAGTACTGTATTTCCTCATGTACAATAAAAGCTAGAGCAGTTCTTTCTTCTGTGGCTTCAAGCATCTTCAAAGAGCCACAATCACCTTCTGGCAACTAGTAGTTAAGTCTTTTTCCCCTTCCTTTACAACATGATGTTACAGAAAAAGGTGTCAGGGTCTTTCGCCTATCTTACATTCTACCATTCCTTCTTCATCTTACATCAGACTTTAAAGTGGCTAAAGGAAGAACACACAAAGTTTTCTGTGGGAATTTTAATTTTACTAGTATTTCACATTAAAAAAACCCACCCAAACAAAGAAAAAAAACCACACACATCCCAAAAAAAAAAAACACCCACCAGCCACATCACCAGCAACACTGAACATCCGTTTGTTATTACAGGCCAAAAATAAGTCAGACCAAATACTGATTAAATCTTTATTATTAAAAAACTTAGTATAAAAAATAGTTCATTCTGTACACTTAAAGAAAGGACAAAGAGGAAACTACACAATAGCAGTAAAGATATGTAACAAGTTAAAGATTTCTGAACTACTTTTTCAGAATTGAGTTCTTTTCTGTTATCATCTGCCATGCATTTATGGTCTCCACCAAAGCTATAAACTTCCTGTAGCAGTCACTTAATACACTTTGGAGTCCTAAGCATAACTAGGACAACCATTAACCTAAAATGAAAAGTGTTGGCTATATTAATGTTTGCTATTGTTAATTCATTGAGTGATGGACAAAGGTTGGGTAGGTTTAATGACAGTATATCAAAAAGTTGCATAGATAATTTACAGAAATATCATACAGCCAAATACTTGTTATTTTCTATGACCTCTGATGCATTTCAGTCATACCCAGTAGAAAACTATCTGATGTACTGCTTTGCAATGCTGAAGACCAAATGAAGCTACATTACAGTATCTTTCAAGAGCATGAATCATGACAAAAGTAGACTTGGTTAACAACATTAATGTGATTACTTTGAGTTGAACACTTTGCCAGATCTAGCACATAACCAAGCTGACAGACAGCAGTGAATATTGGTAGGATTAGTCACTTGAGAACAAGTAGCTCTTTAAGCTACAGCAAAGCAGGTGAGAGTAATCTAAAAGTAAAAAAAAAAAAAGGAGTATTAACTCTGATTAAGGTTGCTCTTCTGCTTGAAGGTGTCAGTGTCTGTTAGGATTACTGGTTTCTCATCTCTCTCCTAGTCTGTCCTCAAACACCAACATGCATAGATATGAATGAAAGTTGTACCTGAGTATTTGACATTGGGATCTATGCACCCTGCTCAAACAAAGAGACCAAACTAATTACTGTTTCTTCATGTAATTGGGCCTTCTAAAACCAAAGCTATAACAAACATTCTTGTAAACTTACTCCCTGTAACTGGTAAACAAACAAATACGTGTTAGAAAACATGTACCATAGAGCAGTCCCACTCTGGACTATATACCTGAATCTTGTTTACATCAGTGTGACTGCCTATAGAGCCGATATCTGAAAGGTAAAACTTAACAGTATCACCTATTGCAAAGTCATTCAATACACATGCTTCTCAAACCTACAATATCTTAGTTTTACTGTCATTTTTCTCTAGCTATCCAAGTAAGTCATCAGGATATTTAATCCAGGTAACTTCCATTGGAGACATCTCAAATCATAGCAACTCTGTAATGAACAAAGTAGGCCATGGACATGGCCATTAAGCAATATTATTTAAGCTACTGACAAATATTTTGAACACACACTTTTCCACTCTCCTAAAAGTTTTGTTTTCTTCTTGCAGCTGAACCCAGACATTAGGAAGATCCCAAGCCTCTTGGAAAAGCAAGTCTGTATGTAGTATCTCAGTCAGTAAAGCCAGCATGCTGTCCTACTCAACTGTTGGTACTGCAGAAATATATAAAAAATGTTATGAGTAGAATTATCATTATATTTGTCTCAAAGATATTTATCTGCCTAAGTATTTTTGAATGCATTCATATCAGCTTTTTAACATAAAGTAAAATGGGTAAACTGCATAAATGGGTGTGCAAGTGCTGTAAGTAGGGGATTAAATAAATATCACTAAAAATGTAGAATAGCAATAGTCACTAGCACCTGCTTCATGTGAAGTCACATGAGTTCATTTATTAAAATGAAAACATGGGAAGCTTGTATAGCCATATACTTGCAGTATCTTTTATTTAAGTCATCAAAATAGCATTGCACCCCCCAGATCGTTTTAGCTGATTACAACTTTACTAACTTCTACCAGAAGTAGAATGGAATGAGTAAGTTATCCCTATCATTGTAAAAATAGGACTCACCTGCTTGCTGACAGTGTTTTTCTGCCAACAGCTGGTGGAGATGGTTCACTATGGAAGAAGCTTTTTATCCACCAACATTTATCGATTAATTCAGGTAACCCTGCAAGAGGGGGGAAAAGCCCACACCATTAGACACTGGCTGAATAACAAACAGGCAAAACCAGAATATTCTTAGAAAGAAGGGAACAATACCATTAAATGCCTTGTCCTGGTCTGTATTGTTCACAGCATCCGACCAGCAGGAGGAGCTAGAAGAAACACTGGATTCCGAGTTCTGTCTTGCTGTTCATGGAAAACAGACACACACATAATTAAAAAAAAACAAAAACAAAAAACAAAACACTTCAGGAGTACACTATTTTTCAGACCTGTTGCTATCTTGGAGGTAGCAATCTAAAAAGATAAGTTTACTTAGCTACAAAGTATAACTTCTATATTTTACACACCATTCTACTACAGCTGTTTATATAAAAAAATCTACGTTGATCTCTCAGTCTACTTACTCTTCACTTAAAAGCAATACTGAGATCTGTTTACATAGCTTTCACCAAAACCAGTGACAAATCTTATGATCATGTACACATTGCTATCAAGACAAACGAGTCTATTCTTGAATATTCAAGTCCAAAACAACCTAATTGCTATACTTTCCACTGTGATATAATAAATACTGTACTCTCATTACAGTATCCATCCTGTACAGAGGGATCCTAACACACCAGATCACTCTCAAACCAGTGACTATTTCACATACTTGGAAACAAAAATGTGAGTTGATGTTGCGTTCTGTCTAAGCCTGCAAAGTAAATATGAAGTACAGCTAGAAGCCAGGACTTGCTGGGCTAACACTTTTTCCAGGTCATGTTTTCTAATTAAAAAAAATATTACATATCCTTAATGAACAATTCTAAGTAGGAAAAAAAAAGTAGATAAATAACCAGAGGCAGATGCTCATTAAAACTGAAGTTCCTTGATATACTGAAAAACTCCAAGCAATTAAAAACTACCAGGTAAAGACACCCTTTTGCCTCCAGCTCATCCAGACATCACCTGAAACACACTTTCTGACTTTCTGAGTGGTAACCATCCAGACATGTCCTCGGGAGAGGCTCGGGGGGCTCAGCCTCCCTCCTCCAGAGGA